TGTAATAAATTCCAATTACATAGATAAATACATAATACAAATTACATACATAAATTCCAATTAATCACAAAACAGTCAAGGATCAAGCTGAGGCACTGGTCTCTCTGGCCTCAACCCAGCAAAACACTTAAGAGCATGAATAACCCTATTTTGAATAGTCCTTTTGGCAAAGCAGTGAAAACTACTCATTGCTTCAAGTTAGGTATATGTTCAAGAGATTTTTTTGATGTGGCCACAGTGCCCCATGGTAAGTGCTGTTTGAACCAGAGCTTAAATCCAGTTTACCATGAGGTGCCTTTCTGGCGTTACTGACTTCTTACCAGGCAGTCTTGCTTCTTTAAACTTGGACACCTTCATTTCAAAAGCAATGTTAAGCAGTTTTAAATGCCACCTTCTCATGAGAAACATTCAGTGATGATTTCCTTTTGGACAGTAATATAAGAGCTAGAATTTCTCTGGCAATCAAACTGAGTTGAAATTTCCTTGAACAGAATTTACAGGATTAGAAGAATATCATAAACATCTGAAAACACTGCACATATAGTCATACTCAGGAGATACAAAGGTCTCTGTCAGTAAAAATGATGTCTTTGGTAAAATCCTCCTTATCTTTTGTCTTCATGTCTCATCTTTAAATACAACTAGATGTAACTAGAATTTTACCTCTTACCATGTTTCAGCCAAATGACAAAACTCTTTTTATTAATTGAAGATAAATTCTGAAGCAGCTGAAGTACCAAATTTAGTAGCATGCTTTTTCTGTACTTTTTCTGTCAGCATGCTCTAGGAACCCAAATTTTCCAGAAACAAGTTTGTTCAAATAGACTGTGGGATGTTCAAGAGCTGCTAAAATCATTACTAGTAAAGCTGTCCTAATATTCCAGCACAACCACTTTGGGTCGTTGAAACTCAGACTGTGGTTGGAACCTTGCCCATGCATTAGGACACACTTCCGAAGCCTGACACTTCCCCTATTCAGATTACTTAGCCTAAATACAAAGAGAAAAATAGGACGAGAACACTTGTACTTTCTTTTAGAAATGAGTCACTCATTAATTCCAGGGTGCATGAGATTTAAGGTGTTTTGAAATTTACCAGCAAAAAAGAGGTATGTTTGTCAGTTGTTCTGTACTGTGTTATTTAAAGCATATTTGACTCTTAGTTATTATACCATTAAATAAGCACAGCAAAGTGCCTGCAGTCAGTCAGTACTGTCTAAAGCCATATAGGCCAGATTTCTAAGCATATAAATCCAACTGAACTCCAAAGGTAGTTTGAACAAACAGATTTTATTATCTAATCGATAGAATCATAGAATGGTTTGGGTTGGAAGTGACCTCAAAGATCATTAAGTTACACTCCTCTTGGGCAGGACACCTTCCACTAGATGTGGTTTCTCTAAGTTCTGTATAACCTTCCCTTGAACACTTCCAGGGAAGGGGCAGCCACAGCTTCTCTGGGCTGTCTGTGCCAGGGCCTCACAACACTCACAAAGAAGTATTTTTTTCCAAATATCTAACCTAAACCTACCCTCTTTCAGTTTCAGTAATAACTTTTAATTATAGTTCTCTCAGCTTTTGTAGGATGCCAGAACTCTTTTAACTTGGGTGTTCCTGTTAGGTGCTGTTCAGTGTTAGGTGCTGTTGAAAACTACACCTCCGCTGAAGTATCTCTAGTATTTTAAAAATATTGGATATCGATCTTTGGATAGTTTCAGTGTGATTAGATAGTGGTAAATTTGTACACTGACCTTTGCCTAGTTATATAAAAATTATTTGCTATAAACAAATAAACACACTCCACTTGGACAAACATAATTGTGTGTTTTCTTAGGTATCTCTGCTTTGGTCCCATTACCCACCAGAGGGAGCTCAGTCAAATGTAAGGGACTGTTCCACCAACCACCAATGTAAATTAGTGAGAGCTATTTGAAGGGTTATAAATAGATTTAAACACAATTTTAGCAGTTAGTACATAGCTGGATGTAATTTATATTAGCTGGGATCTGTAATGTGGGTGGTTTGGGGTTTTTTTGCTTGAAAGAATACTCCTTTTTTGAAGTTATTTCAAAAAGAAGTGTTTGCATTCTTGCCACAGATAATTTCATCAGGAAGTACTTCTTCATATGTGAGTAACTGGCTTTTATTTTCACAGCCATGGAGGGAACACCTGAATAAGTCTATTATTTAGAACATCATACATAGGAGTATGTCTGAATGTGCCTCTGTCTTCCATGAACATTAACATTTGTATTTTTTGTACTGACATCTAAGGAGTAAACATATATGCTGATGTACTTGCAGACCAGGAAGAAAAAAGGGTCTGAAAGTTCAGAGTGGTTGACTTATTTGAGCTGTCCACCCACAGCAGAGAAATATGGGTCAAAGACCCAGGCTGGGGAGAGCACTGTGATGAAATGGCTGTGGAGAAGTCTGTGGCCACAAGGCAGTCAGGGCTGTGCACTGAGGTATGTCATACACATGTAAGAAAGTTACACGACAGAGGTGAAACTTTTCAATCACAGAACATCACACTGCTGCTATTCCTTCATGTGGGAAACTGGGGATTTAGTTCATGAAAGTATAAAACGTGTGCAGTGAAAGCAGCAAAAGACCATTAGTGGGGCTGCAGTTATTTTAGTACTGAAGTGCTCTTGCTTCAGTGCATTTTTTACTCTACACAGGTTATTTACCAAGTTTTTATTTATCTTTAATGCAAATACAGCAGTTGGCATAGAATTGGGCTCAATTACCCTTATGGGACCCTCCCAACTCAAGATTTTCTATGATTTCATGATTAGCAGAATAGTCATATCCTGATACTTGTTATTCCTCTTTCTGTAGAAGAATCATCTGCAATGCTCTAACATCTGTATCACATCTTAACTCTGTTAATTCTAGACAGAGTTGACAAAAATATAACCTTAATGAAGTGAATATTTCACTACAAAATTTTAGTGTAAACTAGACTTGGAAAAGTGTTGGGACACATCCAAACAAAATGCTGAGCTTCTTAATGCTGAGCTAAGGGCAACAGCCTATGCATTCTATTGGTGCAAGCCATAAGCAGCCAGAAAGCAAGCAGTTAAGGCAACAGCTCGCTCACCAGTTCCTTTTCCTGGCTGTACCTACTTCCTTACCATCATTTACAGTTCTCATATCACTTAACTCATTCTGAGCACCCAAAGCACAGTTTGGCACCTGGCTGCACATTTGTTATATCAGCACACACATCCTCATTTTGTTTCCCTAATTCCTGTATTAAAATTTAGTATAAGATTCAGACAAATAACAAAATCCACAGACCACCTATTCTCATATTTTCTAACCATTTCATGGAAACCAAGCATGTCTCACAGCAGGCACCTGCAGGCTGGTAGAATTCCTTGCTGTCACATATCAGCACCGAACCACAAAACATCATATGTAGCATTTGGAAACCACCTTGAGCACATGGTGATCATCAGACCATGTCATAAGATCGTCAGACAGCTGGATCTGAGCTCTAGACTGACGCTACTTACTCAGTAGGGATGGATTGTGGTCAGGGGAATTAAAGGAACTGAGGTTTAGAAGGGGGAACTGATAATTGGTGTGTAGAAAAGCAGAGTGACTCATATGCTAAATCTTGTGCTTTCTACAGCATAAACCATGCAGTGGAGGAAGCCTGGGTTGAAGATAACAGTGATTTGTGAATGGTTGTAATCTTTCATTCATATGAGTAACACATGACATTACTTGTTAGGAGCACTGAAGAACCTAGAGGTGACTGGCACTGTTGCAAGCAAGGTAGATTTTTCATTCTTAGAAAATAATCTACTTTGAATTTAAAGTGTCAGCCTCACCGTTTTGGTGTGCATCTTAAAGACCATCTTGATAACTCCCAGTTTAACATTGCAAAACCAAGCCACTCAGTGGAGGAAATGGTGAGGTCAAGGCTGCCCCTTCAGCTCTGCTTTGCTACCTTCCCCTCCCTCTGCAATGTGGTTGCAATGTGGTCCATGGTGCAGTCATGCAGTCGGTGTCTGGTCTTGTCCCAGAAAAGTACATCAAGATGGACAGCAGGGCCCAGATTTTTGGTACTTGTTCAGCCTTAGTCTTTCATTGCTGCATGCCTTCCAGGCCTGTCATGAAGACAGTTCATAGTTCCATGATAGGTTTTCCAAGGATATGTATCACCATATCATCCACGCATGTGCATGCTATGACATTCCACCAGGAGGGAGAAGACCCTCAGGACTGTGGGTGCACAGGTGTAACTGTGGGAGTATGAAGGTGGGAGAGAAAAGTCATGGCAGCACCCAGGTTTTGTCCACTCTCTTCACAATCCTGCTTAACAGGCCCAGTGATCTTCCTGTTACATCACTGCCTGGACCAAACTTCCTTTCCCTGCAGCCCTGTTCTTCCACCACTGCACAGTTTGTACCCCCACAGAAAAAGAGGCAAGTCTCCTCCAGACGAGTCTCCCCTGTTCCTTTAGACACTTCCACTTTGTGCATTGATCAAGAGAAGAATTTTTAGTAGGGAAAAACACCAAGTGGCTTCATGATTATTACTGTGACTAGCTCATTTCTGCAAGGTGTCCTGTGACTGGAGATGAAGCAGCAAAGGCTCATGTGGCAGAGCTCCCCAACCACACAACCCAAAGGAGGGCTGAGAACACCTCTCTGTCCCACCTGTCCCCACTGTTAACAGCGTGTAATCCTCACAAAGGCCTAGATGGCAATAAAGCCTCTGGGGAAGGGTGACACACTTCCAAAGATCATTAATTCACAAAATCAGACAAAACAGAGGTACTCTTGAAAAGGGAAACATTTTTTTTAAAAAAAAGGCATTGAACTCAAACTCACAGCTCCTCATCTTCCAGACTTTCCAAGTGTCAAGTCACCCTTGGCTCTGGCTGTTTCAAGACCGCATGAGTCATATCCTTTCTAACTGGAAGCCTTAAACTGAGTTTGTTCAGCATTCTTTACGATGGAAGGAAGTTAGTTAGCAATGATAGAGAATGGAAAGCACAGGTCTTGTTTTTATTTTAAACCCATGTACTTCACTGCTCCTTAAGTGGTTTGAAGCAAATGCATTTACCATGGTGGTGGCATGCTTACTTTTGCTAAGCTGAATAACCTGGATAACAGCAAGAAATACACTTTGTAATACAGCTGCAGCTCTCACAGGTTGTAATCACATGCTATAAAAGTGAACCTTTCATTGGTACTTGATTTCAAAAACTGGCTTCTAAATTCTTGGGTTAAATACAATATAAAACCATCTTTGAAATAATTGTATAAAACTTGTTTTTATAGTGTGATACATACAACAGGACCCAACATACAGACCACTTCAACCAGGACACAAATCATATTATCTATGTGGAAAAATACAGGATCCCTATGATAAATGCTTTGAATGCTTGAAATTAAGCTAAAAAGCTTAATTTCAGCTATTTAATCAGCAGAGCTCCAGTGTCTAGAGAAAAACTCAGCATGTCAAAATTGGAGAGTTACTGAATGTGAAAATATTTCTCATTATTATGCTCTTGATAAACAAATCAAGAGATGGATGATAGATACAGCAGTCATCTCTCAGAAGGTTGTTCCAGCTACCTTTGCTCTTTTCAACACCTGGATGATTTTCTGCATTATGTTGACTATGCTACATTTTAATTTAACTTGTCTATGAATATTTTTTGAAAATTCCACTTCTCTACCTTCCTGCCTTTGCATCCCACTTCCCCAAACATTTTTTCTCTTAAAAATAGTTTTCAAGAGATACTTTAATTTTTCTTCCTTGGTATTTCTATATCAGTTTTACTTAATTGTATTGCAATACAATTTCTCTGAGTCCCTTCTCTCAGGCACATGAACATGCATGCAGGCAAACTTGTTCATACAAGACTGTTACTTTTACTTTCACCATAACTAAAAGCAGGAGGGAAATTTGATTGCACATAGCTACAGTCCAAGTTGAATATAAATCTTTGACTTAAATTAGTTTGGGATGGTTTAAGAATTTCATATTTATCCAGGCTGGTAGGCTGGACCACACCAAAAATTTGGTGTCTGCACATCTGTAAAATATTTCTTGAATTCTTCTATACTGGTCAGTGCCTACAGGTTAGGAAAAACATACTCCCTAACTATTCTCAAAGTGCTGATTGTCAAAAATGAAACCCAGCTTTCCTTCTCTACCTGACTGTGGCCCTCCCTCAGGTTTTTCTCCCAGCGTATGGTCTGTAATTTTTCTGATATCTAAAGCATAGAGACTGCACTTATATGGAAATTTTCAAGGTGAACACAGTTATTTGTAAATAAAGGTCTGCTGTCTGATCCATTTGCATCCAAAGCCAGTCTGTCAACAAACTAATTTTATGTACTTTATATGGTTTTCAATTAATTCACTGAAATTTCCTGATTGGATGATGTTTACAAGGCTAGATGGAAAAACCTTTGACCAAAATGACAAACTGTTTTAAAATGAGAATTGTCTTGTTCAAAACGCATAAACACAAGCAAAAAAAAAGTACATTCTAGGTTCTGTGGTGGTCTGTGCTTGGAGTAAAGCTCTGATTTCTCTTCAAGTTGTTTCCCATCAGTTCAAAACTCAAACAAGGCTTTTCCAGCATTTCCAGGCCCGATATTCCAAGTGGTTTTTATTAACTATGGGGTTTTTCCCTCTTCAACTCCCACAAGGTACAGTGCAAACTGGATCCTTGGATAATAAGAAAAGAAGGATAATAGAGTGTTACACTGCTCAGGGAGCATCCCAGCAGGAAGCACATGCCTCAAGAGTGGTGATTTCTCAAGTACAGCAGGAAGAGTGCCAAGTTTGGATGCTGACGCTGCCCTGGTGGCTCAGGAAGAGAAGTGGAAACAAGGTTGTCCTCTCCTACTACCTCTTCATGCTGTCCTGCTGCAGTGCCAGGTGCCTGGAGGAACGCAGAGCCAGTTTTCCCACCTGTGCTGCAGGGAATACTGTAGGCAATTAGCACAGCAAAATTACAGGCGGCTTGCAATTATTTTTTTTTGTCCCCTTTGCTGCCAGGAATTGTTCTGATTAACATGAAATCCCATTTTCTTGATAGATTAATGATAATAATCAAAGCTAAAGTCCTGGTGCAAATCTTAAGTTCATAATTTCAATTACTAAGACACATTTCAGTACTAATAACACATTAAGTTGAATTCCAAGCTCATGAAGATGTAACAAGCTGCATCTGTCAAGCAGAGTTTAAAATACAAGGTGATTTGAGAACATTCAGAATATAAAAGGGCTTTTCTACATCCACTTTTAATGAAAAAATTGCTGTATGAATAGAAATGGAAGTATAATGAGGATTTTTAAGTTGATCTAAGAAAATACAGGGATAAATAGAGCAAGTGAAACTGACATTTTACTTCCCAGTTATTTGTGTATCACAGAACTCCTGTCCCTACTTACAGCCTTTTATGTTTCAAAATAGACCAGAAAATAAGAACAAAAGATCCTCACAATAATTTCACTGACATAATCTCAGTTGAAACTATGATGGAACTATGATTCTTATATTAATTTTTCATTTCTTGCATGCCAAAAAGTACACTTAAAAGACACTCAAGTAATCTTTACACTTGAGGAAGAAAAATCTGATCTCTTCTGTTTCCCTTTAATTTTATAACTTGCAAATTATCACTGGCAGTGCACTTTTTTGATAAAAAAATATTTTGTAATTTCAGTTTTTAATGTGCAGTTTTTCAGATTTTATACAACAGTGTGACGTTGACATGAAGTATAGTTTTTACTAGTGAGGAGATCTGCTTCAAGATAACTTCCAAACACTTTAGGCATGAGGAAAATAATTTAAAAAGAATTCACTGGACTAAAATTAACATACATCTATTCCATATATTAACATCATCCCTGCCATATGCCTTAGTATGATCCAAATTTCCAACACAGAGACTATTTATATAATTTTCTAGTGTGTCCATATCTTCTTAAATTGGAAGAAATATGTTTAGAAAAGAAACATGATCCACTAGAACATATAATGGGGATAGATTAACTTCAATTACATTACTTGAAATAAAACATCTATTATATAATGGATGAAATATCCATTATAATAAGCTACTGGGTGGCAAGCATTAAATCAAATATAGACTTCTACATACTCTGTATCTGTAGTAAAGTGTTGTAACATATTAAACAGATCTTTATTTTAAAATCTCTTTCCAGCACAGGACCAATCCTGTATGAACTGCCTCACATGAGCTAGTTGGGAGTTATGAGGAACCCTGTCTTTTTTGGTACTGTATCCTGAGCTTTTCCAGTTGCTCCACGCACTGCGTCTGGGCCAGCTTCAGTGTTCGGTTCTCCTCTGTCAGTTCTGCATACTCCTTAGCCAGCTGAGCAGCATCCATGCTTTCCTTTTCCACTTGTTCCAGTCTGGCAATCAGCTCCTTTCTGACGATTATGAAAAAAACCCCAAATATTAAAAATAGCAGTAGGCAAAAATTTGTTGTCATGTGTTAGGTCAAAGATGGGCTGTAGGTTGTTAACTTACTTTTTATTACTTGAATTTGTGTGAAACAAGGACCTAGAGAATTAATTTTTTAGAGTCCTGGTTTTTTCCCCTTTAAAAGACTATGCTTCCAAAATCTCAGATAGGTTTGCTGTTCAATAACCAAGCCTGAAAAATGCTGTGTTCATATGTCTGTGTTTGGGACTGTTCAGCAGAAGAGAAGACTTTGGGGAGACCTTAGACCACCTTCCAGTACCAAAAGGGGTTCCAACAGAGCTGGAGAGGGACTCTTGACACAGGTGACAAGACAAGGGAATGACTTTAAACTGAAAGAGAGCAGGAAATGGGATATTGGGAAGAAATTCTTCCCTATGAGGATGTTGAGGCCCTGGCACAGGTTGCCCAGAACCTGTGACTGCCCCATCCCTGGAAGTGTTCAAGGCCAGTTTGGATGGGGCTTGGAGCAACCTGGTCTAGTGGAAGCTGTCCCTGCCGATGGCAGGGGGTGGAACTGGATGAGCTTTAAGATCCCTCCCAATCCAAACTATTCTATTGATTGTATGATTCTGTGATCTCTAACTTCAGTAGGAGTTGAGCACACAGTTCACAGTGGAGAATCAAGTTCCTGGACATGACTTGCTAACACTTTGGCAGAAGAATAACAATTTATTTTTCTCTTAATACCAGCTATCATTGAAAGAGAGCAAGGTGTTTTTGTTTGGTTGGCTAGATTTATCAGTAAGTTCTGTGAAGTGTGCCTGGTTTCCTTTTCTCTACTACAAACAAATCCAGCAAATAGTAGACACTGAATCTGAACTACATGTATTGTTTCTATAATGTGTTTAAGCTCAGACCTTAACCCTATTGCTGAGGAAAAGTGATATAGATGCAAACCTGACCCCTCCTGGTCCTCTTAAGTACAGACACAAGAGGATTTAAGCTGTTACTTCTTCTGGATGGAGTCACAGTGCCCTGTATTCCCATAGCTGGCCAGGAGCTGGAGTTTCCCGTGTATTATCAACCAAAATTACCTCAGCATAAGTTAAGACAAAAGAGATTTTAGAACACTGAAGGCATGAGTAACTCACAGAGTATCTAATTGTTCTCCCCTTAGTAACCCACTAGGCTAGCCTGGCCTCTGAGGGTTTTTTTCCCTTTAAGCCAAAATTCACCCATTACAGGAAGCCTCTTCTAAAAGATTCTTTTGATCATTCTGTCCCAGAGATTAGTTAATCTTCTAACTGTTCATAGCCCTGTGACATAATTTCTACTCATGTCTAAACAATGCTTGTAGATCATCAGCAGGAAGTTATTAATGCCTTCATAGTGGATAGATTACACTGCAGTCCTTAAGGGAGCCCACTTGTCAGGCTAGACCAGTGCTTTCAGACAGGAAATTCCTACAGATCAGGAATTCTATTCCCACAGGTCAGAGCATTCACAAAAAGATAACATTTCTGTGTTTGCTGATAACTTATGTTACTTGTAGCTGACAAGCTACCACTTAGAGCAGCAAAACTGTAAGTCTGGCTTTTGAAAAACAATTCTGTGTGGCCCTCTTTAAAGATCAATCTGACCTTCCTCTGTCTTTACTGCAGCTTTCAGTGATAGCAGAGTTTGTCCATGGTTTAGTTGACTGTTTACAGTCATAGTTCCTGCAGTTAAAGGAGTCACAAGTTAGAAGAGACCCTTTGGTACAGCCATTTCTACCAGATGTGCTTCCCAAAGATTAAAAAAAAGAAAAAAAAAGGAAAAAAAAAAGACATTTATCAGCTGTTTCAGAATTTTTAAAATCAGCCAGAGGCAGCATATAGGCATCCTCCTATATGATATCTTTGTTTTATACTACTGAGGTAATGCAGAGCAGCTATGCTGCAGCAAAGCCTCTTATTTTTCTTTTCACCAGGTGACAGGTCCATTCACCCAGGCCTTTGAGAGGAGACATCAAGAGGGTATTTTTGCTCAGTAAATTCTGTTTACATTTAACACAATATAGCTGTACAAGTTTTAAACACATCAAGCCACTAATAGGTTCATTTCTCTGTGGTTGGGCCATTCTAGATAAACCAGTTTTCAAAGAAGTCAAGACAATCTTGCTAGACAGCTCTTATTCATGGGCTGGAGGCCATGGAAGAGTGATTTAATGTGAGAAATACGTTCAGGGACAATGAGGTTTTACAACTCCAGATGCTTGTTTTTGGTTTTGGTTTTTTGGGGTGTTTTTTTTTGTTTTTTTGGTTTTTTGGGGGTTTTTTTTGGTTTTTTTGGGGTTTTTTTTGTTTGGTTTGATTTTTGTTTTTCAGTCTCCCTGGACTTCCTCTGAAAGGCTCTTATCTCTGGAGACCAAATGAGAACTTCTGCAATACTTCTGCAATTATTCTCTGGTGCAATGTTGGACTGAAGGGCTAAATTAAGCTCTTTCAAATTACAGACTGTTAAATCTGAAGTGTCCAAACAAATGAATTCAGAATCATTCTTCCTTACTTTTCTTACATTGATGAGTAATTACAACATTCTTAAATGGGACATACAGTGAACACACTACTAGGTAATCAGCATCTTAAAAGCAGTAAACCTTTTCTGTGGGAACTTTCAGGAATGGTACTGACTATCCTGGATTTGAGCCAGGAGAGGCACAGACAGACAACATGCAAACTCAGACAGCTCTAGTAATGAAGGTCAGTCCTGATTTGATGACATTCTGTGCAGGCATGGCTTTCATGCTGCTCTCCAGTAATATTCAAGCAGCACAGATAACTTCCCTCCCCTCTCCCCTGAATTTAGCTTTGCTATCAAACAAACTGTAAGTGCATTAAAATCAAAATATACTCATTGCTGTAGTCCACACTCTTGAACCTCCCTCACAGAAAGCAGTTTCCTTGCACTGAGGTAGTAAAATTGCCCACTTCTGAGTCAGCAGAACCTACTTAGTCCCTTCCCATCAGGATCCACACCTGTTTACAGGATAGGGTGATGTTTCAGGCTAATACTGTCAGCCTGCCACAGATCTAAAATTAGAGTACCAGGGAATTGCTAAATGTTATGAATGGTGTAGTTTACTGAGCTCACAAAAGGATGAGGACAGTAACTATCATTTACATCTGATCTAATCCAAGATTTGAACTTAGTTGTCAGAGGTCAAAGAACACCATACTAAGCTCTTGCACCATCTAGACTTTGTTGTGGATGCTTAATAAATACATGTAGCACTGTGTAATCTGTGTTTTCTGTTAATGGTTACCCCAGGTTTGAATATTAACAGTATTGATAAGGTATTTTCTAAACTACTGCTGAGTTGCTCAAAGCTTTGAGACAATCTGTAACATGCACTTGAAGTGTTCTTTTTTGGGGAGGGCAACATTAGTGATTTGCATCATAAACCAATAAACTACAAGCAGGAGGAAAACACAGCATGGTCTTAGGGAAATTATTTTTCTTGTTCTGGCCTTAATGACTAAACATGCAGAGAACAATGCTCCTCAACACTCATATTCACAAGGAAGAAATATAAAGGTGACAGACTAAGCAGATAAATCTGTCTGGAGATAAGTGTATTTAAAGATGGACTGAACACAAGGAAAACAGTTTCCAAAATACAAAGAATCAAATTTGCCTTTCCCCCATTGTGAACAAGTTATTCAGGATCATTCATCTGTGGCAGTACAGTATCTTCCCAACAACTGGTCTGTACTGGTCATTTCCTCTTCCCACATTTGGCAAGTCTTTCCCACATTTGGCATGTCTTTCCCATCAGGGGGAATTATGAGACTGTGTAAGGTAACTGCTGTCTGAGGAGATTGTCCTTGCATGTTTGAAGTCTCCTAACTAATTCAACAACAACACCATTAAAGACATTAAAGTCTGCTTTAATGTAAATGAAAATGCGTCTCAGATACCAACACATAAATCATCATAGAATGATAGAATAGTTTGAGTTGGAAATGACCTTCCAAAGGCAAGAACATTTCCTCTAGAAGAGGAGGTCTCTTTTATTAGAAAAGCTGTAATTTAATTTCTAGTATTTGGCAAGTAACATATATTTTGCATAGATGCGAGATGATGAAGAAAAAGGTCTCAAATGGGAAAATTATTGAGCTAAAATTCTGCCTTTAAGGTTTACACCAATCCTTTTCTGAAATAGCTGGAAGTCTAGAAACTACTTGTCTTCACAGTGTTGGGAAAGACACTCAAGAAGCTGTACTTGGAGAAATCCTCTGGTCTAAAAAGCATAGAAACAGTCATACGGTCATGAGAGCAAGCTAAAACATATGAAAGGCTCCCACAAAATGAAGCAGACATCTCCACTGCATGTCTTTTGCCAAGAGGGCCATTGGGATCCTGGATTCTATCACCAACAGCGTGTCCAGCAGGACCAGGGCAGTCAGTGACTATTCCCCTGTGCTGGGCACTGCTGAGGCCACACCTCGAGTCCTGAGTCCAGCTCTGGGTCTTTCCCTACCAGAGAGACATTGAGGGGCCTGGAGTGTGTCCAGAGAAAGGAACGGAACTGGGGAAGGGTCTGGAGCACCACAGCAGCTGAAGGAGCTGGGGGGGCTCAGCCTGGAGAAAAGAAGGATCAGGGGGACCTTTTCACTCTCCACAACTCCCTGACAGGAGCGTGTAGCCAGGTGGAGGTTGGGCTCTGCTCCCAGGGAACAAGGGACAAGAAAAGAGGAAACGGCCTCAGGTTGTCCCATGGGAGATTCAGATTAGATATCAGGAAAACTTTTTAATTGAAAAGTTTGTCAAGCACTGGAATAGGCTGCCCAGGGAAGTGGTTGAGTCACCATCCCCGGAGGTATTAAAAAAACATGTGGAGGTGGCACTCGAGGACACAGTTTAATGGTGAACAGGGAGGTGGTGCTGGGTTGGTGGTTGGACTTGATAATCCTAAAGGGCTTTTCCAATCTTAACAATTCTATGATTCTATGTCTAATGTGTA